CTTTAATTAGATCTATAATTTGTTTTACTATTGAGAACATTTTTTTAAAACATGCTTATAATGACCATTAAATGACAAAAAAGCAACTGTGGCAAAATGTTTAAAATTCTTTGATCTAGAAAAGTTGCTTTCAGATACCTTTTAGTATATAAGTTGTGTAAAAATCACTATTTTTCCCTAAAAACTGGCTAAAATCTTTAGGATAATCAATGAGGAAAATAAATTTATAAAGACTTCAGAAACACATCAGTTCACAAAAATAGGCAATCTGAAAGATTTTTATACTTTCCTGGTTTCAAAAACAAGATGCTTTATTATGACCATAGTAGATTATCTGTTTTTTTCATAAACTTAATGTATCAATTGTTGATGGTCTGAAATATTCCTTTATGAAAGTCAGTATGTTAAATAAGACTCAACTTTCCTGTTCACAACATCGAGCCTGCCCTAATGTAGGCACTTTCCTTTAGTGATTTTTCTGTAGGAACAGAAATAGAGAAGTTTCATGTTTCCCTAAGATGGAAGTTGTTTGCTGTTTTTTCTGTGTTTCATAAGAAACATTTTTATTTGCTCACAGCTCCTCCTAGATGAGTTATAATCAATATTCATGCTCTACTCTGCATACTTCCAGACTTTCCCATAAGTTTCTCAAAGTATTTTATATGACCACTTTATAAGAAGCAAAACTCATTAATTTTCACACCCCAGCAGGAAGTAATCCTGTTAAACTACATAAATTAATACCTCCGGATCGACATGGTCAGAGATCCCTTTAACTGTAGCACATAGAATATACCCAAACCTATTCAGGAAAACCATGGGCTTGTGGTTCTCCCTGTGGATAAGGGAAAATAACAGATTAAATGGAAAGATTAAATTGTGCAGTCTATCAGGGTTCATCTCTCTTTGGTTCTTTTTTGTCTCCTTTTCTGATGAAAATCAATGTTTATTTTTCAGTTACAATGTCTTAAAGTAGCATGGAATTTACCTTAAAGGGGACAAAACTGGGCAAGAGTTGGCACCTCTGGATGATCCTACAAGGCAGATTGTGAGATGCACTTTCCATGAGCATCTGCAGCCTTGGCAACCACTGTCAAGGCTGAGCAGAAAGGAAGGAACCAAAAAATCCTAATAGCCATCCCCAAAAAGCATGGATGTGGAAAGAGTATATTGCATTTTTCCATGAAAAGTAAGGGACCAGGTTATCAATAAGGTATATAACAAAGCCTGGCTCACATTGCTGGTGCAATTATTGCCCCATCTTACCGATGAAGAAACAGTGCCAGAGGTCACACAAATTAAACTAGTAAATTTACATCACTACCTGACAGTATTTGATTTTGCTTATCTGCTTTTTGTCTGTCATCATCAGAATGAGACTTTTGGAAGGACACAGGCTTTGCTTTGTTTACTCCTGTACCCCTGGAACCTAGAACGGTGCCTGGGACAGAGTAGGTGCTCAATAAATGTCCTTTAATGTCAAAAAATGAAGCAAACTGAAATCAGCATCCAATCCACTTCACTGCTTCAAGGGGAGGACTTTATAACTAGCATTGGCTTGGATCTCTAGCTTATCATTCTGGAATTCAGGAAATTCTTTCTAGTGATTTGTTGTTTATAACAATTTTATCAGTTGTATTTGATTAAGTCAACAGTAAATTCAAAATACAATATGCCCACACATGTTTACAGTCCCTTTAAAGTATTTTATATTTCCAAATACTAATACCAATGTCATGTCTCCATATTTTAATGGCAAATTTATTCATAGCTATTCGATATAATGTGTCTTCTAAATTTACAGGATTTTAGTTTATGGTGAAAAGACTGAAAGGGCATATACGCACATCCACATTTCTGAATCTGCAATTTCATTTTTAGTAACATTTTATTTAATAGAACTCCATTTGTCCTCAGAACTCAACAAAGAAGAAATAATCTAGACAGTAAATGAAATATTAATACTGTGGGTTTAAGAATATAACAAACAGTGCCCTGTTCTGTAAAATTTCTAAATCCATTAAAAAATGTATATGATTAATAAAATTTATCAAAGAACATATTCTTAAGGTTCAGTCATAAAAATAATTCATGAAAAAAATAAAATTGAGTAGAAGGTAACATGAACTACAGAATCTTCTATGTACTGTGCATACTTGAGCTTAAACCCTTTATTTCTGAAGTGGTGCTAAACACATTCTTGAAGACTGGCAAAAAAAAAAAAGGATGCCACAGAAGCAAATGGCTTCCAAGGGATAGGCTGTCAAGGATCAAATAGTAAGAAACAAGAAAATTCTGCCTTGTTTCTGAACAAGAACCATTTAATCTCTTCTCTATAAAAGAAGGTTTTCCAAATTATCCATTAACCATGATTGCCAGTATTTATGTAATTGACAAGAAACATGATCAATATTGATTATCAACGTGCTACACAGTATCTGTCACAATCCACTAAAGACTGGTTGTCTTCTGGAAACATTTCTCTCCTTATTTTTCAGGTTTAGTTCCTTCTTCAATACCATCTGCCAATCCTTTATTTTCAATGTCTTCTTAAGAGAAGTCCTGGTAGGAGATTATAAAAGTGAAGGGTTGAATTATTAAACGTAGGGAAAGGCACAGAAGTATAGCAAGGGAAAAGGAACAGCACAGGTTTAGTAGGAATGAAAATATAAACTGCAAAGGATAAAAATCGGAAACTTGTCTCACCAAGAACCAATATCTAAGATATCTGCTTACTAAAATTACAGAGAAGTCACTCCAAAAAGAAAATAAAAGTATGGGGAGAGTGAAGGACAAAAAATGTAATTGTAAATTTCAGAAAATGATAGATGCAAATAAAAAACAGAGAAGAAAGGAGCAGGTTGGAAAGCCAGTTAGAATATGAGCATGATCCCATCATGTGGTGCCAGAACTATAAATTTTCAAAATAAGAAGTATGTAAAGATATCAGATATAAAACCCAATTGATATAAGACTTCTGTTAAGAGGGTGCATAGACTGAGAGATTGTAATATACAGATTTCTAGATCATGGGAAGATCTTTGAAACACAATAAACTTCCCCATTCGTCTCATAACTGTTTCAGAGAAAAGGTGATCATAATTTCTTTCCTCAGCCTCTTTTCCTTCTCCTTTCCAGGAAAAGTAATTATATGGCCATATTCTCTTAATCTGGCTTCCAATATTGTAGGAATTATGATCTACTAACTTCCTGCAATTTTTTAAAAATTGGAATTAACTAGGATAATCAATTAAGAAAAATTTACTATGGTTTTGAGCTCAAAATTATGTTTCATCTGAGCTTTCTTGTAGTTTCTCTAAGAGTAAATATAAGCCATGAATACATGGACACAGCATCTATTGATCATAGCTTCCAAAGATAAAGCTCAAATGTTGATGAAAACCTTTGACCCTGGGTAGAGACCAGATTTGGGAGGAAGGGGAATATAATCCTTGGCTCATGATTCCATCATCATCAGAGAGGTAAAAATTCCCCCTTTGATGACGATTTTAAAAAAATGTTTCTTATTAAGGAAAAGAGGACTGCCCTTAAATGCATACTACTGGATAATATATAACTTGCTGAACAACTTAAGACATTCATGCAATCTTTTTGGATTTGCTACTAAATTCCAGGCACTATTCAAGGCGCTAGTCATGCAATGGTAAGCAAGACAGACAAAAGTCCCTGCCTGTGTGGAGTTCATATTCCATTGGGTAAAATGTAAAGTGAACACAATAAATAAGCTCTATGGTGTATCAGAAGGTGATAAAAGCTATGGAGAAGAAATAGAGCAGAAAAAATTATATAAGGAACTACAGGGCCATGTAGTTTTATGGGGAAATCTTGAGAGTTCTAAGGTGACATTTGAGCAAAGATCCGAAGGAGATGAAGGAATAAATCATGTGGACATCTGGGGAAAGAGGCAGAAGGAACAGAATGTAGAAGTTCTAAGATGGAGGAATGCATAGCACGTTCCAAGAACAGCAAGGAAACCAATTTGTCAAGACAACAGAGTAGAGGAAAGATTCTCAAAAGATGATCTAAGGAAAATCATGGACTAGGGTGAGAGTATACTGTCTAGGACTTTAGAAGCAAGAAACTATTTAACAATTCCAATTCCATTGTGCAGGCAAAAATGCAACTCCAATCAGAAAATATGTTATTCTGCTATGATGGTGCTTACAAACTTCATATTAATCCTCCTCAAACGTCAAGAGAAGGACTTTGGTTTTTAATCTTGCAGAGGGTTTTGAGAAGAATGACGTGATCTGAGCTCACCTTTGCTAATGTGTTGTAAACGGATGCTAGGGGCCAAGGGCAAAAGCAAGGAGACTAGTTTTCAGATTATTAAACTATTCCAGGTGGAAAATGTTGAAGTCTTGGACCAAGGTAGTGATGATGAAGTTTAGAGAAGTGGTCAGAGTGTGGATACCATAATTTGAAAAAGGGCTAAGAGTATGAGCTAGCAGATTGGATGTGGTTCTGAGATAAAGAGGAGAGAAAGAGGATAACTCTAAAACCTAAGCCCTAGAAATTGGAAGGTCAGAGTTGATTCTCAGTGAGATGGAAAGGCTATGAAGGAGAAACACGTTCAGGGTAAAAGAAGAGAAGTTTGGTTTTATAAATGTTAAACATGAGATGTCCATTGAATGTCCATGTAAAATGTTTAGATATATGAATTCAGTGGAAAGGGTATTACCAGTCTTCTCCATGAATTATAGGTACGAAAACATTTAATAATTTTCTAGCACTAAAATCTAATTATATATGTTTTAAAACTTTTGGGAAGAATTTATAAATCAGCATGCAAATATTTCAGTCTTATGCATCTGAGTGAATTGTAGAATTGTGTTTGTGTGTGTATAATGTAGCATTTTCTTCTTAAAAGATAGCAAAGTAGTTATGGTTTCTAACTGATCCTTTTATGTTTCCAGTTAGGGAAAGGGGAATAAGAGCATCCTTATTTTTATTTTTAGAGAAGAGTGATACTCAGATAGAAGGGGTTTGGGTGCTGCTGCTGTGTGAAGGCAGACCACACACATCAGAGCCCTGACCATCACATCCCCATGGCTGCTTCTTATTGGCTAAGTATTGAACTCTTAATATCAGAAACTTGACATTGTGAAATACTTTTCTGTATTTATAATTAGTAATAAAGTTGAATGCACTTTTAAGTGACAAGAAGTGGAGACCATATCTCTGGCTCTTTTTGTGTATTCTCTGGTTGCCCTGGGTCTCTTCCCCCTCAAGAAGCTTCTGCAGTAGCTACTAGAAACATGGGTTCCTCCTGACAGGGCTTTAGAAAGAGGTGGCAGTAATGAGCCTTGATAATCTTGGATGCCATCCACCAGAAAATCATCTGCATTTGACCTAAAGAAAGTCATGAAGACAATCATAGAGGATTCTAGTTAAATGTCTCTTTTCCCTCATTAGATGAGTTTTCACCCACAAGAGTAGAATAAATGAGGGAAATGCACAGAAGATACAAATGTGTATTTACTGAGTATTTTTTTTCAAGTCAGGATGAATATTTTTATTTTACTTAATATTTTGAACTGAGATTATTTTATGATTTATTTAAATCATTGTTTTTTTCCTAATTCAAATTTCTGAATTTTGTCATTTGTCTAATCCAATAACTTTACAAGAAAATGTGAAAGTGCAGGTTATTTCATGTACTGATCATTCCCACTGCTATATGCAACATAAAAATTAACTTACTTCCTCACTCAAGGTATCCTTTGAAAGCGTGCCTAGACATTACAGAATACTGCAAATGTAACTTTGATGAAATGAGTTATGTGTTTTCCCCTTTAAACCCAAACATTCAAATATTAGAAAAATTTCAGGTATCCTCACTAAATACCTAATTACAATTTCTCTCAAAATAAAGTTATTGTTGTCCATTTTCAGATGACATTTTATAAATCTCCATGTCACAGATGCAACAGATCCAGTATTACCAAATTCAACATATGCAAAATAAAGGCTTTTTTAAAAGCAGAAATGCATATTTATTCAAAATTATGTTATACCATTTATAATATTGTATTGGAATAAGCAACTCCCTCAAAAGGTCAAAGATAGTTGAGCCAAATAGTAAGCAGTTTGCTTAGTCATTCTAATCAAGGATTTGTATATTTACTTACTAGACATCTTGTTTAATCTGGACAGTTTTGAAAAAATTTGCTTGGTTTTTGGAGTTTTATTCATTTTTTAAACAAGTATGAAAACTGAAAAACTGAATTAGAAACAAGACAATGCATTGAACCTCTATTATATGTAAACAAATTAATCCATTGCAATTTTTCAATATAGTTTAGAATTTGTTCCCTCTTAATAGTTAAAATTTATTTTGATTTTCATCTAGGACCCTCTCATTCACCACAAAAACTAATTTTGACAGAATAAGTGCATTGATACCATTCAGGACAAAAATATTTGCATGAAACTTGAAACTAACTCAAATACTGACCAAATACCTTCTAAATTGTAACAGTGCTCACTATTTATTACAAAAGTGCATTTATTGTATCTAAATCCTATACTTATTTGGATTCTAAATAATATTATTTCAACAGTATCATCTGCACTCTTAAAAAAAATAGCACAACTTGGGTGTTTCAATCCAGTGAATTGCTATCTTATATTGTTTTCCTATAGTCCAGGGGAATAAATTCCCACACTTAGTACAGAATAGATTCTATAATATTATCTCCAAGTACAGCACTAACCTATAGATGTCTACAGAATAAAAACCTGAATTCATGAAAAAATTATATTCTTTAAGCCATTAAGGTTGTGACATAATAATGTTTCAAAGCCAAGCCTTCTTTTGTCTTTATTATTTTTCCCTTTCAGGTAGTAATAGTGCTAAATGTTTCCAACAGCATATGGGAAAGTAGTTTTTGCAACTAAAACAAAAATAAAAACAAAAAGCAAATCCTTTTCACTACCAAAGATAATTACACACCCTGGATATTTACCCAATCTACTGTGTTTGTTCCAGTATATTTTATGTAATCTGCTGGTTCTTACATGATCTACTAGCCTCATAAATTTAAACTGCATCACTTGATAGGCTGTATGTCTATATAGCACATATAAAATGGAACATTTGACTATTAGCTTATTGATGTGAAAATGTAAGTACTATACCTGAAGGTTCCCATATCGTGCCAGAGCTCTGCTCCTTTTGTTTTGTGTGTTGCAAGTCATTCTGAAATGTCCTTATGGCTGATGGCAATTTTTCAAGTAATCATTAATAAATACACACCAAATAAGAAGCAAAAGAGATATTCTTATCCAACCAGACCAGTTAGATGCTTAGATATAAAAAAAAAGAAAGAAAGAAAAGAAAAGACTGTACAATCTTTAAGCAGGTTTTCTTGATGTAACTTCTCTAAAGGACCATCCACATACCCATAAGCTTTGGGGTTGTAGAAGGGAAGGAAGTCTGTTCCTGAAGACACACTGCCATGGCTCTAAAAGTTTCTTTATGTGAGGAGTAGTAAACATATTTCCTGATGTCTAAAACAACTTGCATTTTCTTGATGCATTAGAGGGACCACCCCTGTTCCCTCAAGAATATCACAGAAATGTCAAATGTGACCTAGTTAATATTAAAGAGAACCCAGCTGCTTGGCTTCCCTGCTTATGAATGTATAAATTTTCAGTTCTGTAAAGTAAACAAGCATTTTATATGAAAACACTGAAGGAATGTTTCTGCCTACACTTATGCAAACTACTATTGAAATAAAAGTAATCATGCAAGCTCACTTCAAACACTTGCTTGCAGAACTCAATTTAATACTTGTACACTGTTTAGCATAGTACCAGGTTTGTCAATAACATGTGTTCAAAATACTGCATTGAACTTACACAGTAAAGATGTAATACTGTATGAGAATGCTCACAGCAAGGCCTCAGGTCCCTCCTTCAAATGATAGGTGTATCTCACCCTTATAACATAGGTGCATGTCTTTACTTCTTGGAAGAGAGAATAGACCCCATATTCTAGTATCACTGCTTTATTCCATTTTAAAGAGGCACTTCTTCACAGTTCTTAGATTCTATTTTTATGATAATCTCCTCCTTTTAAAATATCAGTCAAAAGTATGTGCAAATATCACTGACACCATAAGGGAAGTTACTTATTTTAAAACCAAATTTGGAAGCAGCTGCCCCTGAAATATTGGAGAAAAGAAATGACACGAGAAACAGAAGAGAAGACGGGCTGGGTAAGGAAAGTAAATGAATTCCTGGCCTCTTCCAAATTAAATGTGACCATTCTTTGATGTCTACAGGTGTTAAGAAACAAGACAACTGAAAAAGAAAAGTGTAGCTCCCAAAACAGAAAGGCAAATCATTAGGGCAAAGAGCCTGGTGTTTGTGTGGATGTGTGAGTGGAGTGTAGCATCGCAATAGAGTCAAAAGAATAGAAGGGAGCTTATTTACTAAACTAGGTAACAGTAGACATAGCTGTATGACACAGCAAACCACATGAGGAAAAAGAAAACTTCTTAATGACGTTAGTTAGCTGGTGCTGAGGGGAAAATTCACAAAGTGATCAAATATCCCCTGACAAAGCAGCTTCAGAAACGTTACCAGAAAATAAATTTTTCCAGACTGAACAGATACAGCAGTTTCAAAAGACATCATTGTTGTAATTTGCTCATTCATTTAAAAATATTTTACACAATCTAGCCAACTCTCAATTGCTCATTTCAGGAAGAGTAGTTGAGCATCTAATGCCAATTCAGTTTCCAAACATTGGATAGGGAGAGAGTGTGAATGATACTTATAATTAGTTAGGTATACACATAAAATATGCCTTCCGAGTTATTTTTATATATGACACTAGTCTATGACAGGGGAAAAAAGCTGGCAATGATGGTTGACATCTGAAGTTGGTAGTATTCTGAAAATTGGCAATGAATGGTGCATATCAAAAGAAACTCGTGAAATGAAAAGTTGACTGGCCTTCTGTACTTTGTTTCTATTTTATTCCAAGGTGCATCATGTTGCTTAATACTTGCTTAGGTAGTATATAAAGCCCCAGGCTATAATATGTAGGTCAGGTAGGCAAAAACATAAGAACACCATTGGTTAGAGTTCTTAAGAAGGTAAGCATTGCTGTGGCTTTTTCTTCCAGTTCATTTCAACCTCTATAACATTTATGGGTGGAGCAGAATACCTGACAGTCCTTATTTTTCTGCACTCAATTGGAGGCCAGCATTTTTAAGATATCTTTCATTCATATTATTTATGTATACTTGTTTATTTTTACAAATACTAGACATTCCATTGGTGATACTGCAGAATGGCGTACTGACCTTGATTTTAAGATTCTTGGTTGGTAACTGGAATTTTTTAAGCTTTTGGCTAAAAAAGTATATAAAGGCTGCTACATGCCTTTATTTCTCTTGGTTTCTGAAAGCTCCTTGAGATATTTTTCTTTCAAAAGAATATTTCAATGGTAAATCCTCAATCTCAAAAATTACCACTCTGAAAGGGTGGTAAAAAAAAAAACTCGCTTTTTCACACTAGAATTTGAAACTTAAAGTTAAAATTTTTAAATGTACTAACATTGCAAAATTTTTATGAAATGAAAACTTTAACATAAGGATTCCAAATCTAGATTTAAACTGTAATATACTATCTCAGATGTCCTCAGATGCTTTCATTATGCCTCCTGAATGCAACATGTTCTTAAAATCTTTTCTGAGAAGAAAATGTGTACTTACAGGACCATTAGGATAATTAACTTGAATTTGAGAAAAACAATATCATTCTCCATCACCTGAAACTGCCCATGCTAAGTTGAGACCATTTGGTATTTTTTAAAGAAAAAGTATATTTCACTAAAATGGCACAGATTCAATATTGCGCTACAAATGAAACTGAGTTTCCTTAAAAATATTCACTGAAAGTCTGTTTCATTGTACTTCATTTTCATTAACTTTAGTGGAGGTGGTTTTCCAGAGTTAGCATCTCATATAATAATCTATAACATCTCTAAGCAAATTGAATATGTATGATTTATTTTATAAGCCTGTCACATCAAGGACTTATTAGAGCTCAGTAAAAATATATATGTGTGTGTGAATATATATATTTTTTTTCAACCAGTGCACAAGAATTAGAAATTAGCCCCTTATTGGTACTTGGCAAATTTTATGTTCAAAATTAGCTGTCAAACATTATTTACAGATGAGTTCTCTTGGTCAAAGAGTTCTGGGGGGAAAGGTTCTTAAAGTACCTCAGACAGGGATATAGCAGGGTCTAGAATAAAGGACACATTGTGAATGAAGACAGCAGTTTAAAAAGAATCCACTCTCTTTCAGAATTTCACATCTTGATTTGGGGAACATATTTTTTCACAAGACTCCAGGAATTAAACAACAGAAGAGTTTGAGTGTTGCATTTACCAGCTCATCTGCCATTTCTTGCCTCCCGAATGCAAGGCCGGTGATAGTCACTAGAACACATTTTCTGTGAACTGAAAATCACTAGACAGGAAATACATTTATCATAATAGTTTCCTAGAATCATCTAGTCCCTTGTGCCCATTAAACGTACATTTGAATGTGACAGAGTTTCAGAGAAAAACAATGAAACAATCACTATGATAGCTGAAATATGGCTTCATAGGAAACAGGGCTACATTTAATTAGCTTTGATTATTTATGTGTCTCTTCTGTTTTTGTTATAGTTCATATCACTGGGATGGATTCATGAGCCAATCTTCCAAATTAAGTTACTACCAAAATTTACAAACTTGACATAAAGATTACATTGTATTTACAAAGAACTTGGCACTTACAGAATAAATTATTGACTTTTTAAAAATCCAGACCAGGGCACCCATGGTTCAGGCAAATAGGAAAGCCTGATGCCTTGTATTATATATTATGCTACATGAACATGAATAAATAAGTTTCCAGCTGGTAATTCTTCCACAGTGCTGGCCCTGGTCCTGAAAACAAGTACCTTCCATTTCTAATCCATGGGGAGGGTAGAGAAGTTATCAGTCCAGAGAGAGCAAAGGTTGCATGTTTTCTTCTTCATTTTTATCCATGCGTTTTAGCACTGTAGGATCCACTACCGATTGGGATCTGGAAACAATAAAGCCAGTGTCAGTGAGTTACTGCCAAATCATCACGTTCTCTTCTCTGCCTTTTTTCCTTTATTATTTCTCTGATGGACGAGGATTAACTTCTCCTACATCAAGGGATTTGTGAACTGAGAATGCTGCAAATTTGGAGAGAGAGACACTTACGGTGATGTTTTGTATCAGAGGAAACAATCCCCTCTGGCCTCTAAACAGAATAATGCACAGCAGAGGATTCTAAATACACAATAATAGGCTTAAGTTCTCTTCTTTACAATCGAGCAAGAGACTTTTCTTTGAGACTGAGAATTTCTAGTTCAGGACAGATGTATTCCAAGAGAACATCACCAAATGGGGAAACTGCATAGTGAACTTATTGTTATGAGAAATGAAGTGGAAATGATAGAAGCCTTGATCCCTGTGTTAAAGGGCTCTATAAAACGACAGAAATGTGCATTTTTACCTATCATTGCTTATAGTTAATGAGCACATTAGGGAAAACTCAATATTTCAATGTGAGTTTTATTAAATTTTTCCACTAGAACTTCCAAATAAAATCAATCTTACTCTTGAAAATCCATGAAATGTTTTAAAACTTTTTTAAAAAGCACAAATCCCTCTTGTTTAGGCAGATGTCCTTTATCATTAGTAAAGCAAATAATGTGCAAACCCCTTACACATGCATTTGATAGCAGGTGGGAATTATATCTCAATTTATCACTAGGAAACAACATGAAACCGGGAAGGAGGGAAGTCAATGTGGCAGGAAGCTGCCATCTTAATGGCTATGGCATTAAAGAAGCAGCTGCCCTTTTAAATCTCTCTTCGGTAATGAATGTTTCCCCTGCTGCTGCATCCCAGCTATTTGGCTATTGCTGTGGCAATATGCCTCTTAGCAGACTTCATTAACTTTCAAGCAGAAAGACTATAAACTAAAATACAGCCGTACATGCTGATGAAGAAGAACACCAACAGAACTCGTTATCAAAGCAAAAATAATTACAGGGTTAACTGATAAACTGAGTCCTTCATTGAAATGAACTTAAATTCCTGTCTAAAGAGGGAATGAAAAAGAAGGTTGGAACATTAAAATAGGGGGGTTTATTTCCTGAGTCATTTCCCTGTTTTACTTCAATAATAGGTGCCTATATCAGAATGGAGACTGACTACAGGTAAATGTGGTGTGTATGGGTGTGTGTGTGTGTGTGCATGAGAGAGAGCAAGAGACAGAGAGAGACAGAGAGAGAAAGAGATGGAGAGGAAGAAGAAGAAGCAATGATAATTTATCTCAGAAAAAGTACATGAATAAAATATATTTTAACACGACTGATAACTGCATAAAACACTTTAATAATTAGACCTATAACAATGCTTTTCTTAGACTCAACTAAAATAACTCGTTTCCCAAGAATACACGCTAAAATATACAGCTCATTCAATGTCCCGCTTTAAAGCATTAATTTGACAACTAGTACCCACTAGACTGTAAGTTCCATGGGCAGGAGCTCTCCTTGCTGTGAACACAATTTGCATCAGAGTCTGTTACACAACAAGATTTCAATGTCTTAACTTTTACTCAATGGTTTCCATACTGAAAGAAGTTGGTTATTAAGCATTCAAACCAGAGTAATGAAGATAAAGCCATTTATCCTGTGAAGAAAGAAACTCTTAGCAAAAAGCTTATTTTAAAATTCTCACAAAGTTAAATATTATATAAGCATTGAGATACATCCTAATAATATTCATTGGGTACACACCAAAGCTCTTCAGGCAGCACAGAGTACACAATTTTAGCATTTGTAATAATGTTCTATTAAATAAACACACATTGTGCATGTGCACACATAATCTTTATTTTTCCCCTTTGCAAAGAGTGTTACTATCTCACCTCTTGGCTCAACCACTTTCTTCTTTTTATTATTATTTTTTAATTGAAGTATAGTGGATTTGCAATGAGATACTAACTACTATATATAAAATAGATAAACAAAGTCACACACAATCTTTAAAGTCTTTGTTCCTTGACTATTTTTTAGAACTTATTAGAGAATATGGTAATTTTAATAAAATATTATAAATTACAGTGCACTATTCAACCTGGGATTAAGTTCCTAGTTTGCTTTTATCACGCACTACAGATGTCAGAATTGCGGAATGATGAAAGCTGGCTCCAGATGCAGACCAAGTCTACAATAAGACAAGCCAGGCAGAAACAATTTCCGATTAAGAGGGGTTTTTTTTTGAAATATAATTGCCATAAGGGTACGGTATTTCAGTCCAGATTGTCCTTGTGCCCTCTTAGACAAAACAACACGGTTATTTGTGTAGGATCATAACTGTTAATGAACTGGTCTGTTTCAGCTGCAGTAGAAGTTATCTGTCATTAACTCACAGCACATCTCAGCAGTCTCCAGATTCTACTGTCTTTGCAATGAGTAACTTTTCCATGAAAACCTATGATTTAAATTTAACTATTCAGGTATCATTTATTCATTCATTATGCAATTATGCATCTACAATATTATGCTCTACCCTAGTGTTTAAGAGACTAGATTTTGGAAAGAAATGGATTTCAATTCCAGTTCTGCTGTTTATTACTAGCTCTGTGACCAAGGAGAGGCTATTTAAGCTAAGGTTTTGTTTCATTATCTGTCAAATGGGGAACATAATACATACATCATATAGATGTATTGAGGACCAAGTATAATAAAGCATGCATAACCCCCGGTGCTGATTCTGGTAGGCAGTAAATGGCAGTCGCTAAGGAAATGACTTACAGAACACTACTGCCTGCTAATAATATAAGCATTGCTGCCTTGTAGCTATGTGACATGTACAAGTTTCTTACCTTCTCTGTATCTGAATCTCCTCATCAAGATGGGTATAGTATTACCTTATTAGTTGTTTAGAGAAGCAAAGAGTCAATATATACAAAGCAATAGATAGGATTTACCATATAGTAACAATAGATTTTGAATATTCTTTAGTCAAATGGGAGCTTATATTGCCAAAACAACATTAGTATTGATGCTCACTTCAACTGTTATGTGCCAGGCACTATCCTAGGGACTAGAGACGTAAGGCAAAAGGCACTCCACCAGTCTGAGAAAACCACCATCTAGCAAGTGCTGCATTCTTTCACATGCCTGTGCTGTCCCTCCACAAGTTTACACAAGGGAACAAAGTCCTCTTCCTATACATGTAGTTAAATTCTCCCAAAAGTACAGTTAACTACAAATCTTTGGTGAAGGGATGACTTTTCCCCTCTCAATCTAAGGACGACAGGAAACTGGAAGAGGAAATGGAGGAAGGGTGGAACCTCAGAACGATTTTCTCCCATCCTTGTTGGGGAACTGCCATTCCCTGCCACAGAGAAGATGAGAATCAAGTGAAACAACTTTCTTAATCTCATTCTTCAGGAGTTTTCAAATAGACCCAATATAAGCTTCATATGATACAAAATCTACATCAAACAAAGGAAGTCTGAAATTCTACTCGGCCCACATTGGAAGCAAGCAACTCAGGGTTGGGGAAGTCATCGTGCTGTGAGCCAAGTCTGCAGGGGACAAAATGGCCTAATTAACTGCAGAAGAAAGTCAGGATCCAAAAATGACTTCAAAAGGTGGATTGCCTGAGCCAAATCTAACAAGATGATGTCAATCAATGAAAATAATGTGCTTGGAGGGAAAAGCTAAGCACAGAAATAGAGAATTATGAGGATAAGGGTCTACAAGCAAAGCGATCAGTGTCTTAAGGAGCTCAGTATGAGTCAGCACTGTGCTCTGGCTGCCTGAACGACAGCATCATGACAACAGCAGCAGCCAGAGGAAGCCAGTGAGGTCACCCTGCAGAGCCAGAGCTCGGGAACCCCCACGCAGGCAGCGGGAGTCGAGTGGCACCTCTGCAGTCCTCAGCACTTAAAAGGGGACACTGACAGACAACTCCTTCATTCACTTAACTGGTACCTAGTGAGTACTCTGCGTGCCGGGCTCTACTCCAGGCACTGAGGATTCAGAAGAAAAGGACAGACAAAGCCACTAAAATCTCCATGAAGTTTACATGGCAGGGTGGGGGAGATATACAACTAAATAAGGTCAGTCATTTCACTGATTAATGATGAACCATGAAGAACATAGAGGAGGTGATTGATAGGGAGTTGACTAGAATGAGGAGGAAATAGAGCTGATTAAGACCAAAAATCCCCCCTTGAGAAGAGGACCTTTGATTGGGACGAGCCATTGGAAGATGTAGGAAAAGAGCACTCCAGCCAGAGGTCACAAGTATAAGGACCCATAGATGAGAGCAAGCTGGAGAGGCCGAAGGAGAATAAAGAAGGATGCTGTGTCTGGGAGGTAGGGGAGGAGAGAGAAGGTAAATATTCTTAGAGAAGAGCCAGGGGCAGGATCAGATTGTGCACCATATTGTAAGCCACGCTATGGAATGGATTATATTCATTGTATATTCAGCAGTCATTTAAAAATTCAAAGCAGAAAAGTGAAATGATCTGAATCATATTTTAAAAATATCTTTTCAATTGACACATGGATAATGAATGGAGACTAGGGGAGCAAGGTAAGGGTGGAAGCAGAGAGAGAAGGTAGGAAGTTTTGGAGGGAGTGGAGGTGACGGGGCTGCAGCTAAGGCTATAGAGAACATGGAGAGACGTGTGCTCAGAGGAGGGGGCCACATTGGTTAACAAGTCACTGAAGGAGGGGCTGAAGGAAATGCACACTGTTATCTAGCAAAGGAAAAGACTGGGGGACACCCAAGAAAGCTGTCTCCAAATCCTTCCACAGCTCATTGCTAGAGCCAGGGCCCTCTGAGTCATGCCGTCAGAGGGGAGCAGACAAGGTTTATTTCAACAACATGAAGGGCTGTACCTCCTGGATTGGAACTCTGTTCCATTACATATAGACTATGCGACTCTGCGTATACAAGTATCTGTTTAACAGGATTGCTGTGAGGATTAAAAAAATAAATGTTACCCAAAAAAAGGTTTTCTAACTCGTGGGAAGCGTATAATAAATGGGGGATTATAACAACTGTCATTATTAGGATTATTATTTTTATCAGAAGGAACCTATTCTTAGACAATGGCCTTTAACCATTTTGTCTTAGAAAACTTTGAGAATTTGATAACTATATGCCTTCTCTCCAGAAAAATGGACTCTATCTATGTACATTCCTGCATGGACACACACAGTTTTGAACACAGCTTTGCACTTGACAGACCCCTTTGAGAGCCCATTAATGAACTCCTTGGATTAGGAGGGCACAGAACTCAAATTAGGAAGCCCTATTTTAAGAGAAGAGAGTTGAGAAGCTTGAACTTGATTTAAACATAAGCTTGATGATTGGTAGAGAAATTAAAGGTGGAGATGTCACTGGCCTTTCTGTTCTCTCCAAGGAGTTGCGGAGCAGTCTGGGGAGAGAAGGGCGTTACACGGACACCAACACTAGCAACAGCAGCAGCAGCAAAAACGAGGTTAGTCTCAGAGCACAGGGGCACCATTATGAGTCAGAGTTGTGACCAAAGGACCATAAGGCTTTTAAAGAGAAGGATGCAAGGCAGTATTTGGGATGCCATGTGAGATGCCCTGGGTCCTCCCTGAGCTAGGTGAAGAGAGACTTGCAGGAGCTGTCTGTCTCCTATATTTCTGACATAAGAAATGAGAAAAGAAATAATATTTGTTACCATTATCCAAATGAACCCTAGGCTGGTATGGCCTGGGGTAGCATGAGAATTAGATGTCTTCTGGTTTGCTACAGAATGCAAACTCAGAGGTAGTTATGAATTTGTGTGTGTGTGGCAAGTCCCCTGCCCTCCATCACCATTAGACTATGGCTGGACATACACAGCCATAGTCTTATTCACATTGGATCCAAAACGCCTAGGAAAGCTCTCATTACAGAGCATGTGTTCAATATATACACATGGATTGAAAGAAAACAGGCATACAATTACCATGAGAGTCAAAGCAAGGAATCAGATTCTGACTCAACAATGAATTCTGTAAAGATTAAAGCTATAGAGAAATAGAATGTTTTGCCCCAAGAATGACTAGACAGGAACTCTTAAACCGAAACTTGGCAAAACTACTGAAAAAAGAAAAAAAGCTTTGAATGTTGGTGTTTGATGTGTGTGTGTGTGTTTGCTATGGAGTCCTTCCTTCAAATGAAATCTTAAACAGAAGCCTAATAAATTGCCTACACAGAAGAAGAGTCATTGGAGGGGAGAGTGTAGCCCAGTGGTAGAGCACATGCCTAGCAGGCAGGAGGTTCTAGGTTTCAATTCCCAGTGCCTCCATTAAAAACTAAATAAATAAACAAAATAAAGCCTAATTACCTCCTCCTCAAAACCAAATTAATTAATTAAATAAATTGTAAAATATGTATGTACCAAACATAAACGGTAGAGCATTATTTAAAAAAAAAAAAAGAAGAGTCATTCTCACCACGAGGAGATGGGCACTGTCCCCACCCCACCTGCTTGCCCTGAGCACTCTTCCAGAACCTTAAAGTTTGAAAAACCACTGGATTTGGTGACTTCCGAGGTCTCAGCTAGACTTTCGGTGAATGTGAAGTGCATTGACTTGAGGTTGCCGTGAGTGGCTTTATCTTCGACTTAAAACTCCTAGACACCCAATCACAGGAGCATGAATGCCTTTAAAATCCTACCAAATATCTACTTCAGAAAAACATAAAATCTGGAGTTGTATCTGCCGCGTCTGCACTCTGGCCCCGCCCACTTCCCAGTTACCTCCAACACACCTCTTCATGGACTTGGGGGAGAGTTCCTTCTCTACTTCCTTCACAGGCATGCTGTAGGAGTCCACGTTGTACTCACTGTCATCGTCATACTCGTGGTCCAGCAGTGTTCTCGCCCAGGTGCCCATATCATAAGGGGGAAGCATTCCTCCAAACTCAGAGGGCAGAATCTCAGGATGAATTAGTTGGTGTAGACTATTCAGGTTGTTACCGTGCAAAAATATCTACAAATACAAGAAGAGGGTGAGGGAAAACACACAGAGGAGAATAAATACCACCCAAATCCCGAGGATGGTGGCAGGTCGTGGGGGCACCGAGGATAGGAAGAGTGAAAACAGAGTTTTCTATGTCTCTGAAAATATTGAAGCCCCTCATCCACTCTGTGAAATACAAGGGCTGGTACTGTAATCCTATTTCATATAAACCTCCTGCAGCTCAGGGATTTTAAAAAGTTTCTAGAAGGTCAGATAGTTACTGGGTTAAAGAGCTAGAACCAGAAATTTGGTTTCCTGCTTCATTGCTGGGAACATGAGAAGCTAAGATGCATGTTGATCTGTACATTATCCTGGTGTTAGTTGTGCAAAGCTGATGCTGTGCATAATGAATGCTGTTGAAACAGACCCTTCTCTTCAGGGACTCATCAACTGCAGAGCCCATTCAAGTCATTAAACCCAAAAGCTGTCACCAGGATGGCTTTCTCTTTATCATCAATAAAAATAAGAATACTGTAACCGCTAAATTACTGCTTTATAAGGCAAAGCATGTGATGTAAATAAAAGTAGATTACCATCATCATAATGAAAGGTTGAGAGAAGGTTCACATCCCAAAGGACTCATTTTCTGTAATGTTGCCAGCATCTTCTCTGCTAGAGATTTCCATGCTTATCATTCAAATAGGAAATGGAATAATGAGTTGGAACTGTAAAGCTGCATGTGTATGTTAATTATTGTTATTACTGTCTACATAGAGCTTTTTGTTAAACTGGAGAATTGTTTCAGCTACATACTCAAGACTTGTTCCTCCATAAATTACTACCTCTTTCCTCATTCTTTCATTGAATCTCAAAACTGCAGATCGGTCTTCTCTGATTAAGCACTGTTGTCATCTCACATAAATTTATGTATTTAATTGAAGATTACAGTTTATAAATGGCATAGAAATAATCTCATACTTCAGATTCAAGATGAACAGATGATGATATTCATCTTCCTTTCCATACGTTTAAAGTCTGATGAAGTAAACATACAGGAAAACAAAGAAAGACTAGCCTATACTAGATAAAATGAGAGGGATGGGAGTCACCAGTCAACAAGTAATTTCAACAAATTGTGGAAAATAAAAAGGACACGAGAGCAGGTCACCAGCCAAATTAATCACAGCAGGTGGCTGCCTGGAACACATAATGTAGGGTCTACAGAGGTGGAAGATACTGTCTGCCCCAAGTTACATCAAGTTAATTGCAAACTTTACACCTTGCCACTCCTGTTTGGAGAACACAGCAACCCAGAAAAACACACACACACACACACACACACACACACACACACACACCTAGAATTTTCCTGGCAAAATTAAATGCTAGCACCTGAAATCCTTACTTTATTTCATTACTGCATAAATACAATCTTTATTTTATCAGAAGTGTTACTTCATGTAAGAAAACTTCTCTCTCTAGTCATGCAAGAAATATGGGAATAAATCCTTAGAAAAGTAAATGCAATTCACACTGCTTCCTCTCTTTTCACTAGTGCTCTGTCACCTCCTCCCTCAACATCACTTTCAGCTTTGGCCTTGTTTCCTCTTTCCCGGAAAAAATAGGGCAACCAGATGAAACCCACCCACTAGCATCTGTGTCCATATGCTTTGCCTTTGCTGTTAGCACAATGGAAGAATAAACTCTACAAAGGCCAACCTCTCCACCTGCTCACTAGAATTCATCCTCTCTTCCACTCAGTTATATTTTCCAAGCAATTCTCTCTTGTCTCTCTTGTCTCATCAAATTTCCTCTCTCTTCTGGAGCTTTTCCACAGGAGAACAAACCTCCCGACTCTACCCTTCCCTCCTGACTCCCATACAGATGCTTAAAACCTCTCTTGACCCTACTTCCACCTCGTTATTATCCTATTTTTCTCTTTCCCTTAATCACAAAACTCGTCAAAGGAGTTATGTGTATCCATTGTCCAAGTACTTGTGTCCCATTTTTCCTGAATCCAATCCAAATGAGCGTTGCTTCCCACCACTGCATGAAAATAGCTCTTGTCAAGATCCTTCTCACTGCTAAATTCAGTGTCCAATTCTCAGTCCTCATTTTTCTTAAACCCTCAGCAGCACTGGATGTAGTAGATGACTCTCTTCAGTGAAACATTTTCTCCCAGGCTCTCTTGGTTTCCTATCTTTGGTAGATGCTTTTTTCAGTCTCTTTTGCTGGTTACTCCTCATCTCCCCAACATCTGAACATCAGAGAGCTCCAGGCTTCAGTTCTTGGATCTATTCTCCTCTCTAACTATACTCACTCCCTAGTGATGTCATTCAGTCTAGTGACTTTAAATATTGTCCATACACTGAAAATGCACACCTTGAATCCAGCCCTCTCTTTGGAGATCCGCATTGGTATTCCCATTCTCTAGGTCACATTTGCCCTTAAATGGTCAACGGACACCTCTAACTTAATGTACCCAAAGTTGAATTCATAATTTTCTCCCCAAAATCAACTCCTCCCTATTTTCAATGTAAGTTAGTGATAAAAGTATGCTTTTAGTTTCTCAGGCCAAAACCTTTGCCTCATCTTTTACCTCTCTCATAATCTAAGCTGTCAGTAAATTCTTTTGGTAATACCTTCAAAATCTCTTCTGAATTCAAACATCTGACCAACTCTACCCCTACAACCTTAACTCAGTAACCATCATCCTTCAAGCTGTATTACTGCACTAGCCTCTTAACTGCTCTCCTGACTTCCACTATTGCCACCAACACTCTGTTCTCAACACAGCAGCCAGAATGACCATGTCAAGCATCAGGCAGACTGTGTTAGTCTGCTTACAATGCCCCATTGGCTTCTCTTTTCTCTTAGAGTAAATCCTCTAAGATCTTCTGTGAACTCCTTCTTTGAAAAAATCTCCTACTGCTTACTCCCTGCTGAAACATGCCATGCGCACATTTGTCTCAGGACACTTGCGGTGGATGTATCTTCTGCCTGGAGAATTCTGTCTCCAGATCTTCCCATGGCTTATTCTCCCACATTCTGCAAGTCTTTGCTTAAAAGTCCCCTTTCATGAAGGCCATCCCTGGTGAGCCTGTTAAACACTGCAACCTTGCTCAACCTGGAAAGCCCTGTCCACTTTCCCTACATCATGTTTCTTTACAGTACCTCTCACTCTCTAAAATATTATATAATTTACTTAGTTACATTATGCATATAATGCTTGAGGATGTATAAAAGATAATACCATCATTTCTCTAAATCTAAGGTTTGTTGAAAAGTTTATATTACATGAAGATTCCTTTTTAGAGCTCTTAAATGAGATTGAACCTCCAGACCAGGCAATAAGAATGCATTACAATTAACCAACTATTAAATTTTTGCACTTAGATTTTTCTCTGTTTTCTCTAGCTCTGTGTAGTAACCTCATTTATTGAAGTTTTATTATATTCTTTCCCTTATATATTTTCATCCCTCCATTTCACACAAGAAATCTGGTCCTTTTGGGCCCCTTTGCCTCAGATTACCTTACAGTTCTAATTATCCTGACTAATACTTCAATTTTTTAATTTTATTTTCCTAAACTGTGCCATTAAAAAGATTATGGTAGGTGCCCCATAATTACGGTAGGAAGAGAGTGAAATATTTTTAAGAATTAGCAAGGAGTAGAAGAGAGTTCCTCATGCTAAGGAAGAAGTAGAAATTTGTGCCAACAAGCAGGGAAACCTGTTTCCTATCAGCTCTTGGGGAGTAACAGGACCACATTCATGGAACAGCTGAAGAGCGCCCCAGGGTAGTGGATTAAAACCTAGCCATGGGGTTCTAGCTTCAGTAAAGATGTTTGGAAGCAAGAAACCTTAATTCAAGAAATTAATACTAGTCTGGACAATGAGCATGTGAAAAATGGCCGTGATAGGCAGTTAATTGTGAAATTTTGAGAGGAATAGACCCCTATAACACCTACGGTTGACTTTCCCACCAGCCCAGCAAGTTGGAGACTCAAAGCCGATTTAATTTAATTTAAGAAAATGAAAAACTAAATATTTATCATGAAAGAAGATACACAACTACTCCTTAGGTTTTCTTTTACCAGTTTTAGAACATAGATTTATAGCATCTGTATTATAAGGCATTTGAGTAACGTAACACTGAATCACCTGGGACACCAGTAAGGAAATACAATAGCTTTGCACTGTGCATTGATTGTGTAAGTAGATGTTAAGTGTTTTCATCTTTATTTTCTCATATGCAAATTGCTGCATCATATAGTTTCAATTAAAATGGTAAGATTCAGATGCCTCACTTCTATGTGGAATAGTGCTCGCAATGAATCTTGTCGGCATTGTCAACATCATCCAGTTCAATCAAATAACCCCCAGATCAGGGGTTTTCTTTGTTTTCTAGACATGATTCTCTTTGGTCTTTTTCAACAGAGCAGAATCGTGTTTAAGTCATGTCACAACATCACCCCTGCCCTCAAAGTCTTTCAAGTGCTTCTCACTTCAGTCTGACTGAAAGCCCAGATTTTTACAACAGTGTACACGGCCTCCTAAGAGCTGGCACCCCATGTTTCCCCCAATCTAGTACCCTACTACTCTCCCCAGTAGCTCATTGGGCCCCAGATTTCTGGCCTCCTTGCTGGTTGTCACACATCCCAGGCCTGTTTCTACCTAAGCACAGTCGCCTTTGCTAGTCCCTCTGCCTGGAGCAGTCTTTCCGGTAAATCTCGGCATCCCGCTGGACTACTTCCTAGCTGTGACTTGCAGCAAATGGCTTCACCTTCCATGCCTCGTGTTCCCATCTAAAACGGAGAAAAACAGCAATGCCTACCCTAAAGCCTTATTATGAGGAGGAAATGAGTTAACGTACTGAAAGTACTTAGAACAGCATGTGGCGGAGAGTGAACACCACCAAGCATTCACTAGGATCATTTGTACTAAAAGCCCCAGCAGGTGTTTTGGCTCTCCTGATCATCCCTTCATAAGACAATGCTTAGAAGTGTTATTGCTCAGGTACGTCCATACATTTTTCTGAATTATAAAATGTACATTAATTTGATTCTTGGTGGTAGAGACAATTCCTAATATAAGTTATAATTATTTACAGAATTCTTCTTCCTCAACCACTGAAATATTTTTAACAAAATTCATAAACAGAAAACTTCACAAATGTTTGACACAAACACATACTTGACAATGATTTCACTTTCACACTCGCAATAGGGATTTTATGGCCCTGAAATACCAGAAGTGCCTTCTCCTTCACTGAGACACATGGAAAATTATCTTCCGTGTGGATTTAGAAGTAACTATATTTTACTGTGGAACCAATCATTTGGAAATTGGCCACAGCACAGTGGTAAAAATATCTCTAAATGTGGAGCTATTTGGATTCAAATGTTAACTCTACAACTTTACAGCTGTGAAAATGAGTAAGCAAGTTATTTATCTATCCTAAGACTTATTTTCTTCAGCTTTGAAACAGGAGATGATGCTTACAAAGCTTACTTTTCAGATGTGTTTGGAGGATAAAATGGAATGATGTACATTAAAGTGCATTTTTAAATCTTTTTTATTAATAGTGATAAATGTGTTCAGTATTTACAATCTGCCATGAACTGTTTTAAATGATTTATATTAATTATCTTATTCTCAGAAAAAATGATTAATTTGGTACATATTTTTAATATCCTCATTATTTAGATAAAACTGAATCTTAGAATTCAAATAACTTGTAATTTAAAGAAACATTAAATTTCCTACACATCAGCATTCTTTCTGAAATGTGTGACTGATCATGACAGTCACCACAAAATTATATTAAATACCACAAAATTCACTATACTCGATGTAACACATACTGTGAGATAACTAACACCCATTTATCAACATATAAAGTTATAACTTCTGTCTTAACATTACTTGAAATTAAGTGTACCAATAACAATACAGTAACGTGGGCTTTTGGTTTTCTTGGTTTTTTTTTACTTTAAACAGAGGCTTTAATATATAATGAATGTGTTAAAATGTTCTCCCCATTTGTGGGAAAGCAAGAGACCTAGCTTTTCTGTTTTTCTTCCACAGATAACACTGCTCAGAATTAATCACAACATCTTTAAATTTATAAGATCTCTTTTATCTTGAATAGTAACATTCAATATAGTAGCACATTTTACCATAGCTAGTGTTATATACACAGTATACATCATAATTTATTGAATAGGGGAGGAAAAAGGAGATTTAAAACAGAAACAAAAACAAACAAATACCCTTTTCCGAGTCTTCTCCTTTAGGAAAGGCCGGATCACGGTATACAAGGCATGGATATACCATGGTTGGTTGACAAAATGAATTCCTCCAAATCGTGCTGGGAAGCTATCCTGGAGTAACACGGAGGGAAAAAAAATCAAAACATGCTTTAAAACATTGAGAAGGTTTAGGGAAGGTCATGTGGTATACAAACATGTTATTCCACACACTTAAATGAGATTATCTGTACACCTAAGGAGAAAGAGAGAAAAAGAATCTTACTGCCTTAAACATTGTAACTTTCATACAGAAACTGAAACAATATGTAATAAAGCACATCTTTCTCAAGAATAGATTGTTGATAAGAGTTTCAGCATGTTTAGGAGTGCCACATTTTAAGCCTGCAAACTGCTAACAGTCATTTCAGGCCAAGAAACATAACTAAAAGATATTAGAAATTTGTCAAATAATGAATCTATGTTAGATAAGTGTATATTAAAGTGTATTGAAAGTGTCTTATTAAATTTCACTGTAGTCATCTGTAATGTGAGAACTGTCACATCAAAACTCATTTTATTCTCTTTCTCTTATTATCAACTTTACCATAAACACTGTCCTTTCCTTATTCCAATTATTTAAAAAAGGAAATGTGCTTAAGCAAATAAGAAACCTGGAATTACTGTGTAAGAAATTTGCAGGTTAAATGAAAGCCAAACCCTCTGAGCTCACCCCACAGGAGGAAAATGGAGCTACTGCAAAGCCATCCTCTTCTTCAGCAAGAACTCACCTGAGTACAGTTTGCATCTGAAATGATGTAGACGGGCGTGTTCTTCCTGTCTCTGAATAAAAAGGTGCATCTCAAGTCCACCCCAAAATATGAAGGAAATCCTTAAGCCAAATAAACTGCAACATTTGACAGTGCAATGGATTCCATATAAATGGGCTGAGTTCTCACTACCAGTTCAAAATTCTACACTGACCTGACAAAAGTCTTCCTTAAAAATCTGTACCACTAGAAGTGAATGGCATCATAATAATTGGCATACTTCTGGATTCTACTTAGAGCATGAACAGGAACAAAAGAAAAGTTTAAAAACTGAAATAACTATAGATGCATTTTCTGAATTTAAATTTTCTCTTGAACAAGATTCAAAAGATTTAAAAACATGTACAGTATAACCCCATTAAATATTTTGTTTTTTAGGGGACACATGAGCATTAGAAATTAATTAGGTATTTTATATACTGATTTTCAGAGTCAACAAAATTCTTTTTGCAAAGTAATTTCTATCTCTGAGAATAACACACACACACACACACACACATGTACACACCACAATACTTCAAATAATAAATAAGTTGGTAAAATCTGTGTTCCTTTGTCAGTCTTTTTTATAAATTTGTAGTTTTCATTCATCAAGAGATTATTACAAAATAGAAGTGAATCAGATAGAAATGTAGAAATAGTATGCTTTAAAATCATGACATTTGCATACATAAAAATGAACATAGTGTATATATAATAAAGAGAACACTAAGAAATGCCCCCTACTCAACTTAAGAAGTAGAATATGATTTATAACCTTAAGGTTCACTATTTATATATTCTTTCACTTCTCTTACATTTGAAAATTTCATATTATATTTCAAATATAAGCATTTCCCTTGCTTTTATTTTGTTTTATTTTATAAATATTATAAATACATAAATATTATATTATTTTATATTTTATTTATTTTTAAATTTTGTATTTCTGCCATATACATATGTATACATATACCTCTTAAAAAATACCGTTAAGTTTTTTAAGTACTTAAACTTAATAAAAATGTTATCACAGTAAATGTGTTCACAAAATGTTTTAGAGGTTGTGTTTGAGGTTTAAACATGTTGTACGTAGCTAGAGTTCATTGTCACTGTTGTGCAGTATATGATGGCATGATACGCCACAGTTAATTTATTTCCTTCTGTCCATGCACGTTGTTTTCCAAATTTTGTGTTCATTTTGCTATCATCAGCACAGCTGCTCTGCAGACCTCATGCTTAGATACGTCTCTTGCGCATGTTCGAGTGTCTGTACACAGTATTCATTCAAAAGTGTTAATGTTGAGTCACAGTGTGTGTGTAGCTCAACTTTACAAAATTGGTAAGAGAAATTGTACCAATTTATACTCTTCCTTCCCTCAGTAATGCAGGAAAGCTCTGACTGTTCCACATAGCACACTTGGTACTGTCAATTTTTCTAGCTCCTGCCAATTTAGTGGACATAAAATAGATTCTCAAGACACTTAAATTTGCTAGTTGCTTGGTTTTTGCTTATTTTAATTCCATCATTAATAACACTGACAACATAACCATTTTACACAGAGGTATTTTATTTCTGAGCCCTTAAGTGCCTAAATTTGCTGTCTCTGCTGATCTTGCTCATTCTATCTTGTTTACTGTGAGCTCACATTTGGCTAATATTAATCACTGAGAATCCTGAAAAAGCTAGTTGGAGGATGCCTTTCTCCATAAAAGATCTGTATCACTTCCTACCAGGTGCTATCAACCAGGTTTGGCTTTAATTTAATTTCTTATCTGGGGGTTTCTCTGACTCTACAGTGTATATTCAAAGCTCAGACCTTATGAGACAATTATGACCTCAGATTATCAGGGAAGACTATTATCATCATGATTATTAATACTAATATTATTATTGCTATTATTATTTTTCTACCTGGACATGGGAGAGGCAGAGACATTTCCTTAAAGCTTTTCTGTCCAGCAGGGATTTTCCTAGCACAAGCTTTCCCTAAGTGGATAGCACCTGGAGGAATGCAGGTTCTCACATCCAGTCCCCCACTTGCCCTCAGTGTGTGCAAGTCTCATCTCTGCTCCTGCCCATCCCACACCCCAGGCAATCATCATGCTTTAAAACTTTAGGCTCCTGCAGTCAACGCTTGCCTCCAGAACCACACAAGCTTCACATATTCTCCTGTTTTTTTCCACTACACTCTGTGTGCTTGACTCTGAGGGGCACTTGTCTTATGTCCCCCAGGGTTCAGTAAAGCATCCAGAAATATTTTCATTGTGATTTATCCAACACCTTGGTGTTTCACAGCAGGCAGAGCTTTAGGAATTTTTAACCTACAGCACTACCCAAAGCGGAACTACTTAATATGCTTTTAAAATAGACTCCCAAGTGAGCAGTTGATCTCTACGACAAAACTGAATGGCATCAGCTACCAGGTTATTAAGCCAAAAATCTTAGCTCAGTGATTTTTACACTTTGAGAATAATCTGAAGGTCATGCTTCTTCTATTCTGAAAATAAAAGAATATGCACATGTAGACACACAACTTACACACGATGCCATGGGATTTCCTAGATACATCTTTAGATACAGAAGACCTGGCTGGCACCAAATCATAGTTAAGACAGTGCAAAAAGTGTCTGGAACCAAAAAGAATGGAACTGCAGTTATGATTCCATATATTTAGCGTCATCAATAGTGGGCAGACAGATCCAGGAAGGTTACTCAATTGCTTTCTTGAGGGAAAAAAATTTTTTTACCAAAACATTCTAACTAGTGTCTTCTGCCAAATAGAAGACAGACAGGAAGTATTTAATTACCAGCTAATTAGAATGTATTTCTGTGCTGGTCTCAACTGGTAATAAGCCATATGTAGATGAATGCAAATAACATATTGAAAACAAAGGCTCTTGACCCTGGTACAGAGAGTACATTGGAATTGTACACATGCTGGAGGATGCTTCACTTCTATCCTCTTAACTTTTAACTGCCCATTAAAGTCATGCTATTCAGGTAGGCATACAATAAAGGAACTTGGTTAGATGCAAAGAATTATGTAGAAACAAAATTTCACCAAAAAAGTAATTACTCTGATTTATAGGGAAACAATAATGATTAACATTTTCTACAACCAGTTTATTTACACTTAAGACTTTGTCATTAAAGAGAAAAAAAAATAATTGAATGGTTGAAAAAACGACTAGTCAATTCCTGTTACAAGAAACAAGTCAGCCTTCAAAGATACATCACATGGTATTTCAAAATATGCACTTAGCAAAGCTTTTTATTTGATAAGCAGTCTCTGAAACAAAACACATGTAAATTACAGAATTAAATTTTTATGATTCCTCAGAAAACAATGTCTTAATTTCAATAAGTGTTTTAAGCAACATGGATTAACCGTGATGGATCATTTAAAAGAGTGATGAATAGGATACATTAATTTCCCATTAATATGTGGCATTGTAGGTAAAATTCTTTTTAGAATTAAAATTTTTTGAGATATGAATACATTTTGAAATGCTTTTGTCCTAAAGGTTAAAATCTTAAGTACAAACATGCATTAAAATATAGATAACTTTTTATGTTAAATGTTTACATTTGAAAATTGATGTTCTTAGATTTGCATTTGCATACTTCACAGCATCTGTTTGTTTTAACACCTCTGGCAAAATGTCAGCTATTGTCTAAACTGTCTATCATGAATACAAGTGTGTCAGCATGTATTTCTCTTAAGGGTGACCAACAGAATGTGCTCTACCCAAAGGCAAGTGCATATCATTTCTGACATTTCTATTTAAAAAATAGTCACTTTCCCTCATCCTATATGCATCAATATTTGGCTAAAGAAGACTTTATGACACTATGACTCCTAAGAAATCTCTCTTCTGCCTTGTCACTCTCCTTTTATAAAGTTCAGTTCCCATTACAGAGATGTGCTAGCTTTGTTCTTTTTCAGTCTTGTCTGAGGGTGCCCTCTGGAAGTTTTTTAAGTTAATTAGAAATGATGCGCAAGTGCAATGATGTGGCCTGATATTCCCCTTTATGGGGAACAGAAAAGAAACCTCAGAGGGACTTACTGGAGGCCTATATCTTCTCAATGCCATAGGATTCTAAGGCGTTAAATCATCATGTCCTTTAAACTGTGCAAGGACACGTGCTGTGGGAGAACAGGTCTCACGCCAGTGTTTTGAAGGCAGAGGGATCTGACTGCATTGCTTTGGTGACTAGTTGAGCTGAGAGAGTCTTTCATCTTCTACTCAGAAGGACTAGGTGGGATCTTCTGTGGGACCCTCAGAACACAGCGGTGGCCAAGGGCTGCTCCAGCTTATGGA